TTTTTATAGAATGTTTAATTGTATGTTGCTGATAAATATAATTAAAAACTATTAAAGTTATTAAATTAAATTAAAAAGATTTATTTTATTAAATTTTTTATTTAATAATATTAAAGCCCGGTGCTACACAACAGGTTAGAGACTAGTCAAAATATATAAAACAGAAACCTCAGTAAGATTTGAATCTGAAATTATTTACCAAATCTATTAATATAAAGTACAAACCTTGGTAAGAAAAAATCTGTTAGTATATATGTTACATAGATTTTGTACTACATAAATTTTTTTGAACAATTAAAAAAAGTTTTAAAAAATTATCTTGTGGGTAAAAAATATGTTTGGTGAAATAAAATCGCCTCAGATGAATGCAAAAAATAAGCATTTAGTATTGCGACAATATGTTTTCTTCCTTTTTTAAGAAAATATATAGTCACGAAGACTAATTTTAAAATTTAAACTCTGATCAAGTAACAAAAATTTTGACACTTAAATTTGTGTCACCTAAATTTTTGGAAGATTTAAAACTCTGACTAAATGTTGCAAAAATCTGACCCTGGAATTTGGGTTCCCGCAAATTTTTGGGGCTTGATCAGAGTTTAAAACTCTGACTAAGTACCCGATTCGGGTTCTTTTGAGCAGAATTGGTTCAAAGAGACCCAAATCAGGTTCTTATTAGCCTGAATTGGTTCAAAAAGACCTGAATCAGGTTCTTTTGAATCAGAATTGGTTTAAAGAGACCAGAATCGGGTTCTTTTGAACCAGAATTTGTTTAAAGAGACCAGAATCGGGTTCTTTTGAACCAGAATTGGTTCAAAGAGACCCAAATTGGGTTCTTTTGAACCAGAATTGGCTCAAAGAGACCCGAATCAGGTTCTTTTGAACCAGAAATGGCTCAAAGAGACCCAAATCGGGTTCTTTTGAACCAGGATTGGTTTAATGAGACCCGAATCGGGTTGTTTTAAACCAGGATTGGTTTATGAGACCAGAATCGGGTTCTTTTGAACCAGGATTGGTTCAAACAGATCTGAATCAGGTTCTTTTGAAGCAGGATTGGTTCAAAGAGACCCAAATCAGGTTTTTTTGAACCAGGATTGGTTCAATGAGACCCGAATCGGGTTCCTTTGAACTAGGATTAGTTCAATGAGATCCGAATTGGGTTTTTTTAAACCAGGATTGGTTCAATGAGACCCGAATCAGTTTCTTTTGAACCAGTAATGTAACAATAATAGGGGGTTTCAGAATTAACTTTTTTTCAAAATAAGTGAGAGCTTAAAAGAATCTATGGTTCAAAGAGACCCGAATCGGGTTCTTTTGAACCATGATTGGTTCAAAGAGACCCAAATCGGGTTTTTTTAAACCAGAATTGGTTCAAAGAGACTCGAATTGGGTTCTTTTGAACCAGGATTGGTTCAAAGAGACCTGAATTGGGTTCTTTTGAACCAGAATTGGTTCAAAGAGACCCGAATCGGGTTCTTTTGAAGCAGTATTGGTTCAAAGAGACCTGAATCAGGTTCTTTTGAACCAGGATTGGTTCAAAGAGACCTAAATCAGGTTTTTTTAAACCAGAATTGCTTCAAAGAGACTCGACTAAGGTTCTTTTGAACTAGTATTGGTTTACAGAGACCTGAAACAGGTTCTTTTGAACTAAAATTAGTTCAAAGAGACCCAAATCAGGTTTTTTTGAACCAGGATTGGTTTAAAGAGACCCGAATTGGGTTCTTTCTGACTAGAATTGGTTCAAAGAATTTGAATCAGGTTTTTTTAAACCAGAAATAGTTTAATAATATTAAAGCCTAGTGCAAGGCATCAGGTTAGAGACTAGTCTAAACATATAAAGCAGAAACCTCTGTTACCGGGTTACTCAAAAATTTTTTCTGGGCCCCAAATATAAAGCACAAACCTCCGTTACCAAAAATCTGTGACCACTTAAGTCACATAGATTTTGGTATGATTAAACTTTCTTTAACAATTAAAGAAAGTTTAAGAAAAGTATCTTCCAGGCCAAAAATATGTTTGAATAATTAAAATTGGTCTGGAGGATCACGAAATATGGAGCATTTAGTCTTTGCAACTATATGCTTTCTTCTTTAAGAAAATTTATAGTCACAAAGACTAAATTTAAAATTTTAAACTCTGATCAAGTGTCACAAAATTTTGAGTTTAAAATTCATGTCACCTCAAATTTTCAGAGCTTAATTAGAGACAATTAAGTATCGCTAAAATCTAACCCTGGAATTTGGGTTCTCTCAAATTTTTGGGGCCTAATCAGAGTTTTAAAACTCTGAAATCATGTGACTTCACTATTTGCATTTATGTTTTTGCCGATTGTAACAAATTTTTTAATCCTTTTAAATTTTTTTACAAAATTTTTGCAATTTTCAAACAAATTTTATAT